ACAATACACAATGCAAATAGAAAAAGAACGAGACGCAAGACAGGAAAGTGGTGCAAGTCACAAAAGAGACTGAGGATCTGAGAAATGGTGGGAATCCAATTGCTGTGCTTGGCACAAATCCACAATTCCCACCATTTCACAGATCCTCAGCCTATCTCCAGCCTTGTGTCTCCCTCTCTTGCCTTAATATTAGATATTCAACAGGTAATCTAGTAAAGTAATTTAAAGTATACGGGTGTGTGTGTGTATTCCTGCATGGGAGAGGTTGAATTTGATGGCGATTGAGGTCCTTTCCAACTCTATGGATCTATGATTCTATGTGTGCATTTTCTTTTTCAAATATAGTATTGTACTACACTGTTGGTTTCAGCATTCAACTACCAATTCTGGAGATGAGAGTTAAATTCCCCTTTTGGCTGTGGAAACTTGACCTTGGGCGAGTTGCACCCTCTCAGCCCCAGAAAACCCCATGATAGGCTCAGGGTTTTGGGACAAATGTTTCTTGGGTTTTTTGTTTTTATAAAAGTCTTGAAACACAGAGAGAGAAAAAATCCTCATAATTTTTCTAACCACTTTCTTGAAGCCTCAGGACACCTTTTCCTACTGAGGATGAGAAAATCTATGAGCATTCTTTAAGTCCCTATTCACAACCTATCCTTTCATCATTTCTTTCACTCTTATAGGCTTTGAGCTTGATCGGTACTCAAGATGGAGAGAGACCAGAGAAACAGATCCATATAACAAGGCATTGCATGGTCCTTGTCTTTCCGCATCACCAGCGAAGCAAAACTCTCAGACAATCCCTTTGTGATAAGAGTGTACTCAGAGATACAGATCCCAATGCATTGATTGTGTGTCATAAAAGAACTAGAAGCCCTGGTAACTGAAGAGTCTTTCACACACACACACACACACTATATATATATATATATATATATGTAGGTTGAGAATGAACCCTGGCACTTCTCTGTACTGCAAATTATATCTCCCAGACTGCCAATGCCAGCTGTACCTGGTCTTCTCAATTTTACAGGAGGATTCACTGTTCTTCATGGTGGAAGAGACTGCCTTGGTGAGTGGTGGATTCTCCTTCTTTGGAGATCTTTAAGAAGAAGTTTCCTTTCATCCAATCTGTTCAACATGTATGCAGAACATATTATAGCCCAGAAGAAGGAGGAGTGAAAATAGGAGGAAGGAATCTCAACTATCTAAGGTATACAGATGACACTGTAATACTAGCACAAAACATCACAGACCTAGAGCAACTATTAAAGACGATCAAGGAAGAACGTGTAAAGGCAGGCTTAATACTGAACATAAAGAAAACAAAAATAATGACCATGGAGAACCTAGACAAATTCAACCTAGACACTGAAGAAATGCAAACACTAAATGAGTTCTTATACCTAGGATCAGACATTGATCAGAGCTGAGACCGCAGTCAAGAAATCATAAGACTAAAACAATTCAGCACAACAGTCAGAATCATATAAGCTATTGTATTCCCTATTACCATGTATGGATATGAGAACTGGACAGTTAAGAAAGACGATAGGAAGAAATCAATGCATTTGAGAGAACGTGGTGCTGGAGAAAAGTGTTGAGGATCCCATGGACAGCCAAAAGGACAAACCAAGGGGTCATAGAGCAGATCAAGCCAGAAACCTCCCTGGAAGAAGCCAAGATGACCAAACTGAGACTGTCGTACTTCGGACACATATGAGGACTTTTTGGAAAAAACAATAAAGCTGGGGAAAGTGGAGGGATGTAGGAAGAGAGGAAGGCCACATGCCAGATGGATGGACTCTGTGAAGGAGGTCATAGGTATGAATTTGCAAGACCTAAGCAGAGCAGCAGAGGACAAGAGGGTCTTGGAGATGTCTCATGAACAGGGTTGCCATGGGTCGAGATCAACTCAAGGGTGGTTAACAACACAAAAACAAGAGGTTGGATGACTATCTCTTGGAGGTACTTTGACAGTGTGTCCTGCATGGCAGGTTTTAGACTAGATAAATGGTTCACAAACTTTGGTCTTCTAGGTGTTTTGGACGTCAGCTCCCAGAATCTCCAGCCAGCTTGGCCAACAATTAGGAATTCTGAGAGCTGAAGTTCAAAACATTTGAAGAACCAATATTTGGGAATCACTGGACTAGATGGTCCTTGTGGCCCCTCCAACCCTATGATTCTTTGATTTGCCTCACTATATCCCTGAATGCCAAATTTACCCTTGACATTGTGTGTGTGTGTGTGCCTTCAAGATGCTTGTCGATTTATAGAGACCTCATGAATTTCATAGGGTCTTCTTAAGGCAAGGAACACTCAAGAGGTGGTTTTGTCAGTTCCTTCCTCTGAAATATAGCCTGCGGCACCTGGTATTCCTTGGCAGTCTCCCATCCGAGTATTAACCAGGGCTGACCCTGCTAAACTTCCATGATCTGAGGGGATCTGGCACCTTCAGGGTATTTAAACCCAACATGTAAGTGTGTGTGTCTTCAAGTTGTAGGTCAACTTATGGTGAGCCCATGAATTTCATAGGGTTTTCTTAAGGCAAGGAATACCCAAGAGGTGGTTTTGCCAGTTCTTGCCTCTGAAATATAGCCTACAGCATCTGGTATTCCTTTGTGGTCTCCCATCCAAGTACTAACCAGGGTTGACCCTGCATGGCTTCCAGGATCAGATGGGATCTGCTGCCTTTAGGTTATTTAACCCCAAGGTATCAGTGTATGTGTGTGCACCTTCAAGTCATAGGTCAACATATGGTGACCCAATTAATTTCCTTAAGAGTTTTCTTAAGGCAATGAATACTCAAGAGGTGGTTTTGCCAGTTCTTTCCTCTGAAATATAGCTTACAGCACCTGGTATTCCTTGGTGGTCTTCCATCTAAGTGCTAACCAGGTCTCACCCTGCTTAGCTTCCAAGATCAGATGGGATCTTTAGGGTCTTTAGGCATCAAGGACTCTTGATATTACAAAACAGTATTTAGCAACTTCTCAAAGAAAACCAAGCACTGGCAAAGAAATGAGAAACTAAGCTTCTTATTCCAAGGAGGGGATCTCTATCTTAGCTGGAAGGTTATACTTTTTTACAGCTAAGGCTGGAAATAGCAAGAAAAGATTTCCAGATTGCATTGCCATCATGTGTATAAAAGATTTCTGGCTGTTCCCTGTAACCAACTAGTCTTTATGCATTTCCTACTGCTTTATTGTACCCTGATCCATAACAATGAATTTTTATCTAGTCAGACAAGTGAAATGCAAAACATATGGTTATAGGTATATCCTTCTTCTAAAATACAATATTTTAAGATAGATTATAAAATGAATTTCAAGGGGGATTTTGGGAATCCCCCTTTCGGGGGCCACAACAGCAGGGTTTTCAGGGACACACACACTCCCTGCACCCAGTTTATATGATCTAAAGATTAATTCGAGAAAAATACAGAGAAGTAGTTTCAAAATGGCAAGAGGGTAAGACAAGGCTGCCTTTTATTCCCTTATCTGCCTAATTTATATGCAGAGCATATCATAAGGAAAGCGGGATTAGACTCAGAAGAAGGAGGTGTGAAAATTGGGGGAAGGAACATCAACCATTTAGGATATGCAAATGGCACCATCATACTTGCAGAAAATAGCAAAGACTTGCAACGACTACTGATGAAAGTTGAGGAAGGGAGTGCAAAAAGGCCGGGTTTACAGATGACTATTAAGAAGACAAAAATAATGACCACAAATGATGTGGCCAAAGTACGACAACCTTAATTTGATTATCTTGGCTTCTAAGAAGATTTCAGTCTTGATCTGTTGAAGGATCCATTTGTTTGTCTTTTTGGCTGTCCAGGGTATCCTCACCACTCTTCTCCAACTTCATATTTCAAAAGAGTTGATTTTCCTCTTATCTGCTTTCTTCACTGTCCAGCT